AAAGAGAAAACTGTGTTGGTCCCAGCAAGAAAAACAATCAGGAGCAAACAGATTATTCCTCTGGGGTGGGAGAAAATGTTTAGTTTCTCAGATATTGCCAAATATTGCCAGGAGTTTCCTGCACTAGATTGGACTAAGTAAGAGACCAATATTTCTCAAAATGTGACCTAAGGACCATACATAGCAGGTAGAAGGGTTGTTAAAAAAAAAATACAATTTCTGGATTCTGTCCCAGACTCACTGAATCAAACTCCCTGGGACCTGATGACTTGTATTCGTTTTTTAAGCATACGCTTCCTAGTGGTTCTGATATATAGTACTTTAGAGAATTGCTACTGCAGAGACCCTTCTTTGATGATTATGTCCAGGGTTTCTGCACAGAGGTTGTGATGGTGTACTTTCTCTAAAGTGGTTTAAACAAGAAGTTACCAGAAGGAAGGACAAGAAGGTCATTTTGTGGATGTCTGAGACTTATTAAAAGGCTTTGATGCCATTGACGTTTGATGATTGTGTTTGGCAAGTAGCAATCCTATTCGAGGAGTAAGTAAGTGGACAGGTGTGACGATGCGAGGTAACATTTGGGCACACAAAAATGGTATGCAGACGAAGCTGCAAAGGTGAAGTGTAGAGACTGTGGGTCAAATATTGGATGCAGGTGTGTGTACAGACTACTGCTATGGTCTAGGCTCCTGACTTTGTGATGCACCTGCTGTCAACTGCTGTATCTGTCTAAGTACCAACGTGGGCTGTTCTGTCAAATGAAACTTTGTCCTGATGAGGAAAGGGCCTGTGGCTGAGCTGTCAGTGCCCAATGGGATTAGAGCTGAGCTGGTAGCAATCTTGCTGCCTCTTACTCTCTGAGGCTGTTCTGTTGCTGACAGAAGACAGGAGAACCCTCACTTGCAAGATTTCTGAGTATCAAAATTTGACCACAAGTAACTTTTTCACAACGATAACTCTACAGCATGTATAGATATACATATTAGTCCTGTTTCTACATATTTTCCAGAAAAGATAAGCTAAGGATGGTGGTCAGATTTGAAGTTTAACTAGGTCTTCAAATATCGACTGGGGAATATTTAGGAAGAAATACGGAACAGTGACTGTGAAAATATACAGTGCAGACTTTAAAACATTTTCTCTAAAGGGAATTGATCACAAAAATGTTAAGCATGATGTTTCTTGTGAAAAATTCAAATGATATCAAACTGAATAAAATATGAAACAGAAAGGCCTTTCCCCATGCCAGTTTTATTTTTCAAAGTAAATATTGTTTGGATTTTAATGTATATCTTTTCAGAATTTCTGTACTATCAGCTATACATAAACATGGACAAATGTGCAGAAGTTGTGTCCTGCTGTTGTCTCTGCCATTGTTCTGTTTGGGTTTTGTTGTGTGGGCATCTTTCCAGTTCACTGATGCTACAGAAATTGCACATACACATCAGTGCACATAGAAATATTAAACTTCGGTGCCATTTTCCATTATCTGTTAGGATCACAGTTTATTTAATAGTGCCCTATGGGGTATTATTTATGCTGTTTCCTCTTAAAGTAACATTTTTTTTTAAGATTTATTTATTTATTCATAGAGAACTGGGGTACAGGCCAGAGATGCGGAGGGTGAGAGGATTCACCAGAGACAGAGTGGGGTACAGAACAGGCAGATCGACAAAGTACACTGCCGAGGGGAGCAGCGGGAGGGTGAGGAGAGGTCTGTCTCGCCATGTGGATCTCCTCTGGGGCAGGCTGGGAATCGAACTCATGCGGAAGTGGCTTAAGTTTCTCAGTGCTGTGCTTTAACCCGCTGGGCCACCAGGGAGGGCCCCTAAAGTAACATTTTTTAAAGAAGTTTTTCTCTTTTGTTTTTCTGTCTTTATACTTGTAGAAACGTTTCTGAGAAATAACTTCCTAAATACATATTTATTGCACCAAAGTCTAAACTTCTTAAAGACCTATCTAAACTTCTTAAAGACCTTGATAAATTTTGTCCTAGAATAAATATACCAATTTGCAACACTACTAAGAATGTTTGAAGATACTTTTATTTCCTCATGCCTTCATTAATAATGAGTAATACCGATATTTTTAATCTTTACTAATCAGATAGATAAAAAAAATACATCATTAGATCTAGTTACTAAAAGTTCTATCATCTTTCAAAAGTAACATGCTTATTTAAAAAAAAAAAGTAAAAATCATCAACAAGGAAAAAAGTACAAAACAGCTGTAACTTCCACTGTTAACTATTCTGAGAACCTTGGTTTATATTCACCTAAAAACAAAAAGAGTAAAACACCTTATTTCCCTCTTCCCCTTCTTATTTCTAGCTTGGATAAACTTAGCAGTTCAATTGGAAAACTAATGAAGACATTTGATTTGATTATTAAAGGCTAATAACTGCTGGGTGGTGGCACCCTTTCCATGGGAGTTTTTAAATAAGTGTTTTTTGGTTGATTTTGCCATTTGGGGCCAGTGGGAGGTTGGGGGGGTGTGAGTAAAGAAGGGTAATAGGTCTGGTATCCTTTAAACTTTGACTTCCAGATTGAGTTTTCTTTCTTTCTTTTTTTTTTTTTAAGATTTTTTTTAAAGATTTATTTATTTATGCATACAGAACTGGGGTACAGTCTAGAAGTGTAGGGAGTGAAAGGATTTTCCAAAGACAGAGTGGGGAGCAGAACAGGCAAGCTGACAAAGCACACTGATGAACAGGCAAGCTGACAAAGCGAGTGAGACAGGAGGGGTCTGCAGCACCATGTGGATCACCTCTGAGGCAGGGATAGAACTGGCACTGAGGCGGGTGCTGGTTGCTTGCAATGCTGCACTTTAACCTGCTGTGCCACCAGGGAGGGCCCGTGGTTTAATTTTTTCATTGTGAAGTTCATTCTTTAGCTTCCTTAGTTCAAGAGATGGTGACGCAGTTATCAAAAAATGCCAGAGAACAACATTAGAAAGAGCTGGGAAAGTCTAAAGAAATGTAGAAGACATTTAGGAATGAGTTCATCCGATGAGACAGAGAGAGGCTCCTCACAGCACAGAATTAAATATCAGCATTGAACTGTAAATCACTGTAAGGTACTTGTGTTCTGCAACTGAGATTTTTTTTGCCCAGTTAAATAAGACCTTGAGTTCAATAAGAACTTCAGATGGTTTAGAAGGTCACACTGCCCTGCAAATTGAACAATCTGAAGGATTAGAACAATCTAAAGGATTGTTTAAGAAATGACTTTTAGTTTTTAATGAAAAACTTCTCTGAATCATAATGCATCTCTGATGCTTAATGCATATAAGATGAACCCTCTTCAGTAGTATAAAAGGGATGACTTAAAAAAGAAACCGTGGGGCCCTCTCTGGTGTTGCAGCAGGTTAAAGCACTGTACTGAGAAGCTAAAGCCACTTCTGCTTGAGTTCGATTCCTGCCTGCCCTGGAGGTGACCACATGGCGTGGCAGACCTCTCCTGTCTCACCCACTGCTCCCCTCAGCAGTGTGCTTCGCCAGTCGGCCTGTTCTGCTCCCCACTCTGTCTCTGGTGAATCCTCTCACCGCCCCTGCATCTCTGGCCTATACCCCAGTTCTGTGTGCACAAATAAATAAATCTTAAAAAATAAACTGTCAGCAGCAGTGAAAACTAACATTTACCACCACTGCAACTTTCCCAAGCCCCACCCTGGCCAAAGTACATTCATTTGAGGAGTATAAAAATACTTAACTATTTGATTAATTAAATGGAGAGGGAGTGTTCTTGGATATCATTGGTACTAAAAGGTGTTAACCCAAGGAAATTTGAGAGAGATAAATAGTAGGTCAAAGGTATGATTGTTCTCTTTTTAGTTCTGTATGCTATAATTTTTGGAGACGATTGGGTTAATTCTGTTTGAGAGAATGCAAATGACATTTTCAAACTATTTTCTGTAGTGGTATTGATGGTTATATGGTAGCCAGATTGGTAGGGTTTCCTGACATTTGCAATTGGTAATTTTTTTTTTAACCAGAAGAAAAATATTACTCCTACTGCTTTTCACAAATAGCACTCCTATCTCTTATTACAAATGATAGAGTAATGACTTTGAGGATGACCCCTGTGAGTTTTATCTGAAATGACTTGTATTTTTCATCGTTAAAGTCCTTTAGCATCTTTGTAGTTGCACATATTATGGTTTGTTGCAAGTTTAGAGAGTTCTGTGGGTTTTGTTTCTAATGTAGACACAGCCTTATAATTTAGAGCAGTGTTCACTAATTAAAATTGTAAGCATAATTACTATCCATGATACTTATTATTAGTTTGCATTCATAAAGCTCAAAATTCACTTCATTCTTTCAAGTAGTGAATAATTAGTTTCTTTGGGTTTGTAGCTTTATCATCCCTTTATGACCCTTTTGGAAGAAATAAACAACCAACCTCCTGGGACATTGCTTTAAAAAGCTGGAAATATATTGTCCATCTAGTGCAATAAGGCTAATACAATACAGAAAATATAACTTTGCTTTGGTTTTACCAGCCATATTTTCCTTGTATTAACTCAGCAAATAACTATTGAGCACCTAATGTGTACTAGGAAACTTGGGGAGATAGATGATCACTCAAAGTTTCTGTTTTCAAAGACCTTATAGTTTTTCTAGAAAGGAAATAAAATTTTACATGTATATGCAAAAGAAAAAAACCATGGTGCATTTAAATATAATATATAACATAGACAGGCAGATAGAAAAAAGGATAGACAGAGTGATTGATCGATTGATCCATAGATCTGAATATACACACTATTAGAACAAGAAACAGCCCTGTTCTCTACTGTGATCAGCATCTGAAACAGTGTATTAAAATAGGTTTAATAGATGAAACAGTGTATTAAAATAGGTTTAATAGATAATTTTCTAGATACATCAATGAGTGAATGAGTAGAATATTAATTTGTATTCTTTCCAAGATGCATCAATGGAATATTGGCACTTTTGCTCACCTGACTCATCTTCATTGTTCCCAGGTACCTCAGCCAGCATGGCTGTCTCTTTGCCACCCACCCTGGGACTCAGTTCTGCCCCAGAAGAAATTCAGCACCCACATATTAAATTTTCAGAATGGAAATTTAAGCTATTCAGGGTGAGATCTCTTGAAAAGGCACCCCAAGAAGCTCCAGCAGAAAAAAGAGATTCCTCTGAGGGGAAAAGTCCTCTTGAGCAGTCTCCAGCAGTCCTTGACAAGGTTGACAGTCAGAAGCCAGTCCTGACTCAATCTGCATTGAAGGTGCACCCTAAGTTTTTGAAGAAATCCCATGATGATGGGAAAGCAAGAGACAGAGCAATCCACCAAGCCAACCTTCGACATCTCTGCCGCATCTGTGGGAATTCTCTTAAAACTGATGGGCACAAGAGGAGGTACCCAGTTCACGGGCCTGTGGATAGTAAAACTCAAGGCCTTTTACGAAAGAAGGAAAAGAAAGTCACTTCCTGGCCAGATCTCATCGCCAAGGTTTTCCGCATAGACGTGAAGGGAGATGTTGACTCCATCCACCCCACTGAGTTTTGCCATAACTGCTGGAGCATCATGCACAGGAAGTTTAGAAGCGCCCCCTGTGAGGTATACTTCCCAAGGAGTGCCGTTATGGAGTGGCACCCTCACACACCTTCCTGTGACATCTGCCACCATGCCCGTCAGGGACTCAAGAGGAAGTATCATCAGCCAAATGCAGACCTCAGCAAAAAACTCAAAACCGTCATTAACCAAGCAAGACAAGCCCGCCAGCGCAAGAGAACCCTGGCAAGGATCAAGAGCAAGGAGATGATGAAGAAGATCACAAACTGCCATAAGATTCATCTCAGTACCAAGCTGCTGGCAGTGGATTTCCCAGCACACTTTGTGAAATCCATCTCCTGCCAGATTTGTGAACACATTCTTGCTGACCCGGTGGAGACCAGCTGTAAGCATGTGTTTTGCAGGATCTGCATTCTCAGATGTCTCAAAGTCATGGGCAGTTATTGTCCCTGCTGCAGATATCCCTGCTTCCCCACTGACCTTGAGAGTCCAGTGAAGTCCTTTCTGAGCATCTTGAATTCCCTGCTGGTGAAATGTCCAGCAAAAGAGTGCAGCGAGGAGGTCAGCCTAGAAAAATATAACCAACATGTCTCAAGTCACAAGGAATCAAACGAGACTTTTGTGCATATTAATAAGGGGGGCCGGCCCCGCCAGCATCTTCTGTCCCTGACCCGAAGGGCTCAGAAGCACCGTCTGAGGGAACTCAAGATGCAAGTCAAGGCTTTTGCTGACAAAGAAGAAGGTGGAGATGTGAAATCTGTGTGCCTGACCTTGTTCCTGCTGGCACTGAGGGCAAGGAATGAGCACAGACAAGCTGATGAGCTGGAGGCCATCATGCAAGGACGGGGCTCTGGCCTGCAGCCAGCTGTCTGCTTGGCCATCCGGGTCAACACCTTCCTCAGCTGCAGTCAGTATCACAAGATGTACAGGACTGTGAAAGCCATCACAGGGAGGCAGATCTTTCAGCCTCTGCATGCCCTTCGCAATGCTGAGAAGGTCCTTCTGCCAGGTTACCACCCATTTGAGTGGCAGCCACCTCTGAAGAATGTGTCTTCCAGCACTGACGTGGGCATTATTGATGGACTGTCTGGACTGTCCTCCTCTGTGGACGATTACCCAGTGGACACCATTGCCAAACGCTTCCGCTATGATTCAGCATTGGTATCTGCTTTGATGGACATGGAAGAAGACATCTTGGAAGGCATGAAAGCCCAAGATCTTGATGATTACCTGAATGGCCCCTTTACCGTGGTGGTGAAGGAGTCTTGTGATGGGATGGGAGATGTGAGTGAGAAGCACGGGAGTGGGCCAGCCGTTCCAGAAAAGGCTGTTCGGTTTTCATTCACTGTCATGAAAATCACGATAGCACATGGCTCACAGAATGTGAAGGTGTTTGAAGAAGCCAAACCCAATTCCGAACTGTGTTGCAAACCCTTGTGTCTTATGCTGGCGGATGAGTCTGACCACGAGACCCTAACTGCCATCCTGAGCCCCCTTATTGCTGAGAGGGAGGCCATGAAGAGCAGCCAACTAATGCTTGAGATGGGAGGCATCCTCCGCACTTTTAAGTTCATCTTTAGGGGCACAGGATACGATGAGAAACTTGTCCGGGAAGTGGAAGGACTTGAGGCTTCTGGGTCAGTCTATATTTGTACACTCTGTGATGCCACCCGCTTGGAAGCTTCCCAAAATCTTGTCTTCCACTCCATAACCAGAAGCCACAGCGAGAACCTGGAACGCTACGAGGTCTGGCGTTCCAACCCCTACCACGAGTCTGTGGAAGAATTGAGGGATCGTGTGAAAGGGGTCTCGGCCAAACCCTTTATTGAGACAGTCCCTTCCATAGATGCCCTTCACTGTGACATTGGCAACGCGGCTGAGTTCTACAAGATCTTCCAGCTAGAGATAGGAGAGGTGTATAAGAATCCCAATGCCTCCAAAGAGGAAAGAAAAAGATGGCAGGCTACGCTGGACAAGCACCTCCGAAAGAAGATGAACCTGAAACCCATCATGAGGATGAATGGCAACTTTGCCAGGAAGCTCATGACCAAAGAGACAGTTGAAGCCGTGTGTGAATTAGTGCCCTCAGAGGAGAGACATGAAGCTCTGCGGGAGCTGATGGACCTTTATCTGAAGATGAAACCCGTGTGGCGATCGTCATGCCCTGCTAAGGAGTGCCCAGAATCCCTCTGCCAGTATAGTTTCAATTCACAGCGTTTCGCTGAGCTCCTTTCTACGAAGTTCAAGTATAGATATGAGGGCAAAATCACCAATTATTTTCATAAGACGCTGGCCCACGTCCCTGAAATCATTGAGAGGGATGGCTCCATTGGGGCCTGGGCAAGTGAGGGAAACGAATCTGGCAACAAACTGTTCAGGCGCTTCCGGAAGATGAACGCCAGGCAGTCCAAGTGCTATGAGATGGAAGATGTCTTGAAACACCACTGGCTGTATACCTCCAAATACCTGCAGAAGTTTATGAATGCTCATAATGCATTAAAGAACACTGGGTTTACCAATAACGCTCAGACAAGCTTAGGGGATACCTTAGGCTTAGAGGACTCTTTGGAAACTCAAGATTCAATGGAATTTTAAGCAAGACAGCCACTTATAAGTTGGTTTTGCAAATGAGTTTTTCACTGGGTTGCATGGAGACCTTCTCCTATTCCCCTCCACTTCTGGGGGGGCTTCACCACCCAAATGGTGGCAGGTTGGAGAGGCCGCAGATGCTGAAACCTTGTCAGGAATGTGTAACTGATGAGCTGATTGCTTGGGCCAGTTAGGGAGTTCAAAAAGCAACAGACGAAATCAGTTTCTTGAAAGGTCAATAACTCAGAACAGGAGTAACTGCAGGGAACCAGAGATGAGCAAAGATGTGTGTGTGTGTCATGAGTGACAAAGAACAGCAGTGAAACCAGGACAGGAATTTGTTTTGTGGCTTGTATGGCTTCCTCTCAATTTATTATAGTATTGAGAAATAAGGGCAACTATTTCATTTTGTAGAATTTTTAAAGATAAATTTCCTATATTTGAGCTTATCTATAAGATTTGAAAGAGCTTTTTTGATTTTTCTAATTGTTTTTACATTTTTTTATGGCATGATGACCTCTACAGAGTGTTTTTAGTGCATTTTCTCATTTGATACATTTATGCAAAAATATCCCACATCCAGAAAGTTCTTGGAAAAGTGGTCCTTTTCTAGGTTTAAAGTCTCTATTGTAATTTTAAGATTTCAGGAGGTCATCTGTTACCATGGACTTTTCAATAATGAAGTGGGAGAAGTCCACCTTAGCTATGGTTAGTTATTAAGTTTCATAATGATATGTCTATTTAACGATTAGTGGTCATATTTTTTTTTCCATTTTATATCTTAATTTAGATTCTCTAAATACCTTTTTTTATAATCTGAAAGCACACAGGTTTTTTATTTTTAACAGTTTGGGTTTGCTTACTCCTTTGACAGAAAAGGAGAATTAATGTCTTGTTAAATATTTTGATGATTTGTTTAGGATTCATAAGTAATCACTACAGTACATCTTGGAATAATATTTCCTGGGGGCAATGATGGGTGAATTTTGTCATGGGTGTGTATTTGGCCTTTTGATAGACAAGAATAATGCTATCTCTCCCAGGGGCCTCTCCCCACCCCCAACCCCCAGCTTTTGGTGATTTTAGTTATTTGGAAGCTATTGTCTGCTTTTTAGGAATTTGGGATTTGCCAATTGCTGGCGAGTTTGAGCAGGCATGGGATTTTATATGCTAGTGAGTCATAATGATATGTTGGTGTTAATTAGTTTTTTTCTTCCTTTGATTTTATTGGCCATAATTGCCACTCTTCAGACACAGTTTATCAAAAAGCTTTGTAATTTAGTCGTCAAACATGCCTCAGTGACATTATCTTAAATGGCATGCATTTGGTGCTATTGCAGGGTTGAACCCAGTGTTTTCCAAATACAGTAGTTTCCTTGCTTATATATATAAGCATATATAGGATGTTTCCTTGCTTTTATATATATATATATAGTGCATGTAATATCAAAGACATTTATAATTCAGTTGTCAAAGACATATCATACATATTTTAATATTGCCTTTTCTTGAAATCTAATTTTGCATTTTATAAATTAATGGGCTTCTAAGATACCCCTTCCCTTCATCCCATTTAATCCTTACAAGCATGTCTCTGCACTAATAAACAGCTAAATCCATGCAATCATTCTACTCCCTGAAGAATGCTGACATTGACTCGTAGATTTTTTTTCTGTTTCCACTCTGCTACTCAATTGGTGGCACTGTGAATTCTTTCCAATGTTAAACCTCATCCCCCCAGCATTATAGGAACTGTTCAGCATGCACGTGACTAACAGTATGATTTATAGCACAACCTTCCCAATAATCCCTTAATCAGATCACATTTTGATAAACCCTAGGAACATCTGACTGCAGGTATTTCAATATGTAGAAATGCTGCCTGTGGTTGTTTTTGCCTTCATTGTTGAGATTGCAATATCCTAGACTTGGTTTTATAGGCGGGTTTTATTTTTGACAATGTCCACTGTAAATGCAATCACATACTCCAGGGAAATTTGCCACACTGAATGGAGCTTTTTTTTTTTGAAGTATAGACTGGGACTTCAGAAGTGCAATGCATTTTTCTCCATGAAACCTGATTCTACAAGTTTTCCTGCCAACCCACTGAGGTGCACTGCAGGGACCAGTGATAATGGCTGATGAAAATTGATGAATGGTTGGTGTGAGGTCAAAAAGTGCATGGGGATTAATAAACATGCACTGAGCAGCAAGAGCAGGAGGGAAGATGTCTTTTTCTTCCAGGTGAACTGGAATGCAGTTGTGCTGCAGTTTGTTTTCACAAAATATAGATGATGATACAGATTTTTTTTTAATGGAGCATGTGACTATCTCATTACATCAACCTGCATTCAAATTCCACACAGTTAGGAGGCAGGATTTGAAAGTGCCAGTGGTGGTTGGGAGAAATAAATCATCACTTAGGATGCAAGTGATTTTTGAGTGCAGATTGTTATTATTTGCGAAGGTCTTTTATTGCAATATTATGAGATCTTAAATAAGAGTGGTTATTTTGTCTCTCTCTCTCTATATATTTCCTTTTAACTACAGTACTTTACATAAATATACCTCAGAATTCATTTTTAGAGAGATTTTTTTGCACTTCACTTTATTTTCTTGCAAATAAGCACACACACTTTTTTTTTTATGGTTTCCAAGAATCTTCATATTTTCTGTTTTAGGGGAAGTCAGGTACCAGGATAAGATGGATTTATTTGATGCTCCAGGGACCTGTATTTCCATATAAAAGGTTTTCAAATTAAGTGTATTGTGTATTTCAATGCTTCCTTTTATATTGTATTATTTCTTCTACTTTCTAGTATGGTGATTCTTGCTAACAATTGTATGTTTAAGTCTTTGAAATAAAAGTTTAAGATTTGAAAATAGTGAGTATTTGTGATTTATATTCAAATCATAATATTGAATGCAATATTTAAAAAATGAAGCAACATCTTTTCTTGAGGGAAACAGAATAAATTTGGTAATCTTTGGAATAAAGGGCAACAGAATAGTGATAATGAGTATAATTTATCCTAGTGCAGGATGAGTGCATTTGGCTCTACTGAGGAAAATAATAAGCCTTTTGAATCTGTAGTGATTTTTTAAAAACTCCTTTGAAAACCAAAAAAAAAAAAAAAAAAAAAAGGACTCACTTCCCAGAAAATGCATACTTATTTACTCAAAATTTTGGTCGGATTGTTGACTCATCCAGGACTCCACAGATCAAAGCAGAATTAGTCTAGAACCCAGATTCATTTGTCAGTGCTTTCAGTAATAACAACAACAATAGCTACAATTTACCTATGCTGTTATAGGGGGTAAAGAAATATTTGCAACCATGTTGTTATTTGATCCCTTGGAAGTTGGTCATTGCAATCTCCATGTTGAACACAAAGCAAACCTGCCAGGAAGTGTAGGCCACATTTTTTCAATGTTCCTTTTTATTCAGTCCTTCTCTCTGTCACACTACTCAGTTGCCTTTTCATCATCCATGAATTTTCAAGCACCTCAGTGCCAATTTTATCACAGACTTTCCAGCTAGCTCCCTTCAACTCAATATTGGGGTTCAGTGGCCTGTATCCCAGCAACTAAGTCAGTTTTTAAAATGTTGAGGTATGGGGTCCTCCCTGGTGGCGCAACTTGTTAAAGTGCAGCACTGTGAAGCTGTACGCTGCTGCTTCAGCCTGAGTTCAATTTCCTACTAGGGAGGTGACCCACATGGCGCTGCAGACCTCTCCTGTTTGCCCTCTGCTCCTCTCAGCAGTGTACTTGTTCAATCTGCCTGTTCTGCTCCCCATTCTGTCTCTGGTGAATCCTCTCACCACCCCTGCACCTCTGACCTGTACCCCAGTTCTATAAGCATAAATAAATAAATCTTAAAAAAAAATAAAAGCTGAGATATGTTTGTACATGTAGGTCAGTAGTTCATACCCCAAGGCCCCAAGTCCCCTTCCCATTCTGACAGCTCTATCCTATGCTCCATCCTGGGGAACCCACAAACCAGCAAGAACCAGGTTAATTACTGGACAGCAGGGGAACTTGCTCTCTCTTCTAGTTGTCCTTGATTTTTTTCCTCACTAGTGCTATCCTCGCCTAGTTTTGGAGCTATAGTTGATAAACAAAATTGCATTTCTAAAGTGTACAACATGATGTGATATACATATTCATTGTGAGGTATTTATCAAAATCAGTCATCATCAGTTACCTTGTACATACATGAGGTAAAATTGGTTTATGTTGTATCTGCTTTGGGAGTTATAGGTATAAATTCTAGAAATACATATTTTTATACCCTGCCTGCCCCAATAATCTCTACCATGTAGTTACCTAGGAAATGCCCGAAGTCATCTTATTAGAACAAAAGAGACTCCTATCACCCTATCATGCGAGACATTTCTAGGCTCGTATCACATCACATTTGCCTTGTTTGCTGGATTTTAACCAGACTGATATTCTTTCAGTTCCTTAATATTACAAGCTTCATCTCATCCCAGAGTTTATTGACTAACTAATCCTTTTTCATTATGCTTTTTCTTCTAATACATTGAATCCACTGGTACTTGTAGATGAATACAGCCCTTTAGAAAGTCACCTTGGAACATCATATACTTATTCATTGGTATTTTTCTCATGTTAATAGCTTTGAGACTTACCTTTAGATCCTTTTTGAAAGCTACATCAGGAAGCCCATTTGTTAGCTTGTATTCAGACTTAGTTTTGGACAGTACTGAGTTTTTTTCAAAACTCTATTAGGTTTCAAACGACATTTCTCTGTTTCCAGAAAACCAATCCCTCCTTAACAGCTCTAATGAAGAAAGTGGGACAATTGTTGAGTATCTTAAAAGGAATGACCCATAAGACTCTGAAGGTAATTGAAACATGACATTTCTAGAAATGTCTTAGGTGGAATTGTTGGGGGGGAAAGGATGTCCTGAATAAATAGCACAAACAGGCTTTTATGGACTCTATGCCACCCCAGGCCAATGAGATCCTAGGCACAAGGACTG